ACAGGTGTGTGCTGCCATGCCTGGCTAATTTTTTATTTTTATTTTTGCAGAGACAGGGTCTCGCTATGGTGCTTAGGCTGTTCTTGCACTCATGGGCTCAAGTGATCCTCCTGCTTTGGCCTCCCAAAGTGCTGGGATTACAGACACGAGCCACCGCTCCCCATCCAGGATGAAAGTCTTGATGGGCCCTACCTTGAATTTAAAGGAGAGACAAAGGACTTCTCAAGGCCCTGCCCATTCCATTTTACAATTATCCTAGACACTAATAAGACACAAATTACTATAATTAGAAAATGGAATAAATGTCTTGGCATGTAAACATTAATTGCTTTAGATAAAAACAGAAAGTAGAAACCAAAGATATTTATTTTTTGTACTTCTCATGCACTCAATTTGCTTTCTACAGCCTTTTTGATTTCTGTCCAGAACTTTTTCCTTTTAATTTTTCTACATAGTTCTACTACATGTGAAGATTCCATTATGTGAGATGTTGAGAATGTGGAATGAATTTAGATTATTTTTCATAGACCACAACTCTACCTCCCACAGAGCCTGGGTGGGGGAAGAGTTCTCAGGCATGTTCTTTTAAGGGCATGGAAGTATGTAAAGTGCTGTTATATTATGTCCACCCATAAAGTGCTAGGAAATTTGTTTGGAAAACATGCCTATGTTTATAATAAGCGTTCTTTTCCTGTGCTCTAGGGCCAGTCACATTTTCACCAGAATGCAGCAAACATTTCCACCGACTCTATTACAATACCAGGGAGTGCTCAACACCAGCTTGTAAGTAACTTGGGTGGGTTTTTTTTTTAAAAAATTATCCAACAATAAATGTGTGTAATTTTAAACTTCAAATGTCTGTGGATAGCAAGAAGTAGACTAACCATTGACATTCTATTTATAACACTGATTTATAACACTGACAGTACCTAAGGTTTGTGTGTACTGTTGCTGTAAGGAATGAAACCACATTCTAATTGGGAATCTATTCAAATCTGATAATAGCCAGATTTCCTTAAAGACCAAAGTGTTTGTTAGGATTTAAACATTTTATCATGATTCAAATTCTTTGGCATAAATAGGGTGCTGTCTCAAATAAATGAAAAAAAAAAAATGAGATGCCTGTGAACTCTAAGTAAAAATTTTTTCCTAAGTTATTTTAAAGTAAATATTTTTTATATCACATCATTTATATAATGATGCTGGATTTTTCTGAGTAATGATAGCATGTAAAGGTTGCTATAATGAATTCTTTTGGATACTTAAGTTACTGAAGTTAATAATAATTCTAAACATAATATTTAAGCACTATCATTTAAAGTGCCAAAATTATGACTATGTGTGGTAACTCCGTTTGCTGTTTCTAAATTCCTTTCTAAGCCTCAACTTTCCTTTTAAAGAACATGAATTCTAAGCATTTTGTTTCTTTTTAACTAGATTGCTCATCTTGAGGAGTATTGACTTTTACTCAGCATGTTAAGTTGTATTTGTTACAATGTTTTTCAAAAACAACTTGTGTTTAGGCCGGGTGGGATGGCTCACGACTGTAATCCCAGCACTTTGGGAGGTCAAGGCAGGCAGATCGCTTAAGCTCAGGTGTTGGAGACCAGCCTTGGCAACATGGTGAAACCCTGTCTCTACCAAAAATACAAAAGTTAGCCAATCTTACAATCTGGCTTCAAAATAAAAATAAATAAATAAATAAATAAATAAATAAGTAAAAATTCCAAAATAAAATAAAATAAAACAACTTGTGTTAAATGGCTAGAGAAAGTCAATCACATTGGATTACAGGCAGAATGACTAATGGTAGCCAGGCATGGTGGAGAAAGCACATGGTTTGGCATAAAGCTTTTGACTAGTTATGGGGTGATTAATTAACATTCTGAGGCTCTTGTCTCACCTCTAAAGTGAATATAGGAATAGCACCTTCCAGATTGTGTTATTAAAAGAATTGATGAGAAAATCCATTTTCACCACTTGACATAGTAGGTATTTATTAAATTGTAGTTATTGTTATATGAATTAGTGACAACAATAACAGGATTTCCCCAACATTTCTAGTAACTCTATACATAATTTATCTTTAAATGTTTTTCCTAGATTACAAAAGATGTGCTAGATTGTTAACAAGATTAGCAGTGAGTCCACTGTGCTCCCAGACCTAGCAAACCTACCCTGTGAGTATATATTTATTTTTCTTATCCTGCTTAATAGTCTAACTTTATTTTTTAACATTTTTTCCTTTTCTTTTTAGTTGACACATGGTTGTACGTATTTATGGGGTACAGTGATGTGATACTAATTTAAAATTTAATTTAAATATATAATTTAAATAATATAACAACACTTTACATACTTCCATGCCCTTAAAAGAATGTGCCTGAGAGCTCTTGCCCCACCCAGGCTCTGTGGGAGGTAGAGTCTAAATTAAATTTTAGAAAATTTAATTTTGAAAAATAAATTAAATTTTAAATTTTAATCTAAAATTTAATACTAATAAATGTTTGATATGCCTCAAACATTTATTATTTTTTATACTGTGAGCATTCAAAACCTTCTTTTGCAGCTTTGAAAAAATATACAATAAATTACGGTTAACCAGATTCACCCTACAGTGCTGCAGAGCCCCAGAACCCTCATGTCTAGCTGTAGTTTGTATTCACTAACCAACCGCTCCCCAGCTGTGCCTCCCACTCCTCTTTAGCCTTTTTTTTTCTTTTTTTTTTTTTTCTGAGACAGAGTCTCGCTCTGTCTGGAGTGCAGTAGTACAATCTCTACAATTTCCGCCTCCCAGGTCCAAGCGATTCTCCTGCCTCAGCCTCCCAAGTAGCTGAGACTACAGGCACGTGCCACCATGCCTGGCTACTTTTTGTATTTTTAGTGGAGACGGGGTTTTATCATGTTGGCCAAACTGGTCTCAAACTCCTGACCTCAAGTGATCTGCCGACCTCAACCTCCCAAACTGCTGGGATTACAAGCATGAGCCACCATTCCTGGCCCTTTTTATCTTCTAATACCCAACTTTCTACTCTCTACTTCTATGAGCTTAATTATTTTTAGCTCCCTTATATGAGTGAGAATATTTATCTTTCTGTGCCTGACTTACTTCACTTACCATAATGTCCTCCAGCTTCATCCATGCCGCCTTGAATGGTAGCTTTTCATTCTTTTTATAGCTGAATAGTATTCCTTTGTGTATATACACAACATTTTCTTTATCCATTCATCCATTGATGGACATTTAGATTGATTGCCTGTCTTGGCTATTGTGACTAGTACTGCAGTTAATATAGAGGTGCAGGAATCCCTTTGATATACTGATTTCTTTCCTTTGGATAAATACCCAGTAGTGGGATTTTTGGGGTTATATGGTAGTTCCATTTTTAGTTTCGTTTTTGAGAAACTTCCACACCGTTGTTCATAATGGCTGTACTAATTTACATTCTCACCAACAGTGTATAAAGGTTCCTTTTTCTCTGCTCCTCACTAGCATTTGTTTTTGTCTTTTTGACAATAGCCATTCTAACTGGTGTGAGATAATATCTCATCATGGTTATGATTTGCATTTCCCTGATGATTAGTGATATTCGGCATTTTTTTCATATATTTGTTAGACTTTTGTATGTCTTCTTTTGAGAAATGTCTGTTCAGATACTTTGCCCTCTTTTAAATCAGATTATCTGGTTTTTGCTGTTTAATTGTTTGTGTATTCTGGATATTAGTCCCTTGTCAGCTGGATAGTTTGCAAATCTTTTCTCCCATTCTACATGTTGTCTCTTCACTCTGTTAATAGCCTAATCTTCTTAAGAAAATGTTTGAATAATGTCAGAAGCCAGGAAGCCTATTTTAGCAATACCTATAAACTTAATCTATGGATTTTTCAGTAAGTGTTAAAACTTGGTCCAAATGAAAAGACCGTTTTAATGAATTAGTTTAAAATATCCTCAGCAGTGATTGAATTAAAATAGTTTTTTGACAACCTTACCAGCCCTGAGAGATTTCCAAAAATCTTTCAGCATTTAGTGTTGTTTCATGATTGTGCAGAAGCATTACGCAGATAGACATTAGATGAACAGAAGTACTTATATAGTTCTATTTTTTAACTGTCCAAAATATATAATAAAAATGAAGCCAGGTCTTAAAATTTTGGTACAGTTTTGGTACTCTAAGTAAGAAACAGAGAGAAGATATTGTAATAATAAGAGAAAAAGCAAAGAATAAAAAAGATAATTAACATGTAATTATTTCTTGCTCTAGCCTATTACTTTACAAGAGTGAAATGGTAAACCAGAATTTTCATTCTGGCTAATTTATGCTAGGAGCCCTTGAGCAATAAAGTATTTGTACGATCCTAAATAAATTGAATGTAAATTGTAACATTTATTTTAAAAAGTAGACTCTATACAAAATACTGAAAGATACTTATTTCTTTGCAAATGTTTCTCTAATCAGTAGTTCTTTTGCAGTGTAGTACCAAGTCAACTTTTTTTGGGTCAGCATTTCAGTACCATGGACAAGTCCTTTTAAGGCAACTGGTTCCTCAGTTGTGAAGGTGGAAGTGAAAGTCATAAGAGGATGGCTGGGCACCGTCGCTCACACCTGTAATCCCAGCACTTTGGGACGCTGACGCGGGTGGACCACTTGAAGTCAGGAGTTCGAGACCAGCTTGGCCAACATTGTGAAGCCCTGTCTCTACTAAAAATACAAAAATTAGCCATGTGGTGGTGCGTGCCTGTTGTCCCAGCTACTCGGGAGGCTGAGGCAGGAGAATTGTTTGAACCCAGGAGGTGGAGATTGCAGTGAGCTGAGATCATGGCACTGCATTCCAGGCTTGGCAACAGAGCAAGACTCCGTCAAAAAAAAAAAAAAAGTCATAGAGGACTTGTAGTCTAAAATTAATCATGAATATCTTGAACTGGCCAGTGTAACTCAGTATCAATATCATAAATAACTGCATGGGGATTTACTTAAACTATCTCACAGTTTTGTTGTGACAATTACTGAGACAATCCTGACCTATTATTGTTGCTATACTTAGTCTTACTTTAAAATTGATTATCACACATTAATGATAATAATTAGAACTGTTAGTTCTGCATATCTACAGTTGCTAAATTGAAATTTTTTTTTAGATTAAGAAAATAAACTAGATTATTGTAGTGGCAGGATACTTAATTCAATTACTCTCAACCTACCTGTTTCAAAGTTTTTTTCTTTCTTTCTTTTCTTTCCTTTTTTTTTTTTTTTGTGAGACAAGGTCTTACTCTGTTGCCCAGGTTGGAGTGCAGTGGCTTGATCATAGTTCGGTGTGACCTCAACCTCTCAGGCTCCAGTGATCCTCCCACCTTAGCCTCTCCAGTAGCTGGGACTACAGGCTCATGCTACCATGCTCATCTAATTTTTTTTTTTTTTTTTTGGTGGCAGCAGAGTCCCACTACGTTGCCTAGGCTGGTCTCGAGCTCTTGGGCTCAAGTGATCCTCCCATCTTGGCTGCCCAAAGTGTTGGAATTACAGACATGAGCCACCGTGCCTGGTTTCAACTCTTTTGAACAACACAAAACATGAATCAAGATAATTCACTTGGTTATTGAAATGACTTAAACCAAGTTATATTTATCTCTTTCTTCGTTTTTAATATATTCCATGTAAATGAGTAAATTTACCTAAAGTCCCCAAACAATACAATACTGGAAAAGTTTTCCCAAACAAGTACTGTATTATAATTTAAGATAATGTACACAAATTTACATTCTCCTGGGCTAGATCATAGAAGACAGAGCTGATAAACATGACTTTTAAAAATTATAGATTTTAGAGACTTAGTGATTTTTCTCTATGAGTTATCTGTTTTGAATTATTTATTTAATAAGGTTTGCAATCAATATTACAGATTAGTAAATGTTAGGGATATTTAATGAGTTGTTCACAAGGTGTCAAGTTCTTTTCTGTTTTGGTATGTCTAGATATCGTAAATATTTAAAGGAAAAGTCAATATTTAAAGTCTCTAAAAGTACTGATCAACCTTCCTGCCCCTTTGCACACATATTAGTCTGCATTCTCAGGATTACACTGTAAATTAGGAGTCCACAGATTCTTTAAGCAAAATAAAATAAACTATTGAAACTGTACATATTTGTAAGTATTCTAAAAACCAGGTCATAAATGATATGGTGCTTCTTTCCCCCCCACAGGCATTTCCTAACAATGTACATCTAATGTGAAGAAAAAGTGCCTCAAATCATGCAAAATGTAAAAAAAAGATGAAATTTATAATTTTATGGATATGAAGATGAGTAAAATAAGAGACTTCCCAGAAATAACTGGTAGCTGTGTCCTGTCACAGAATGGAGTCTTTCTTGCTTTATCTTTCTGTGTATACAGTAATTTATAATTTTGTAAAACAGAGTTTGAATCACATATTGAAAATGAGATATTAAAAATTATGTGATTGTATTTTATTTTTACTAGATATATTATTTTCTTTATAATTAATTAAACATATAATTGTGTAAATTATATCTGAGAGTACCAGTGAGAAATAATGATTTTTTTGTATATGACTGTTAGTAATATATTTGTCAAATCATCATGTGCCAAGTTAAATTTTATAATTCTTATTTAATATTTAAATACATTTATTTAGAACTTGTTGTCTTCACTTGCATTAATTTGAAATGTGAATTTTATTAAAGCTGAAATATGAAAAAATGTGTTGTTTCCTTTGAATTAAAGATGTTTGTAATAGAGGTTATGCTTTTGAAGTGTGATTACCATATATGTATATGTGTATAAATATGTATTGTTTGAATGGATAATTAGAATCCTGAGACAATTTCTGCCTTTTAAAGTTAGAACATCTGGTATTGCTCTCTTAAATACAAAGAAGTCCAGTTGTTCTTGGACTGGCGAGCTGTATATCAAAGAGTGAGAGGAATGTATGGGTGGCCTGGATGCTCTGTTTAGAATGTAGCAGAATACTCTGATGCATCCAAGAAGTTCTATTTAAAAACAACAATAAAAAAAAATCGTGAACCTACAACAAAACAATGGAGAACCTCCATCCCTTTAATGAGTAGACAAATCATGAGTTGCTTCACAATACCTCAACAGTGCAGTCATTGACTTTGTATCACTTGCCAACTGCTTGTGTTGGTGTCATGAAGACATATGTATCTCTGTGCCTCATGGAAGCCATCATTTCAATTATGCAGTGCCTTTTGTCTCTTGCATAACTTCCAGACACTGTATCATGTCTTATTTGTGTATGTATACATACATTGTCGTTTGTTCCTCAGAAAACCAAGCTAAAAAATGCCCCTTGGCTTCAGGAATATTATGAAGCTCCATTCTCAATTTTTGGTTTTACTTATTTTGGTCTATGAGCAAAGATTTACAAATAATTATGTTTAAAAAATCTGAGGTGGGGGAGAAAATTCTGCAGTAATGCTATATAATAATGAAAAAAGACTACTTTTTAGTTAATTTTACTTATAATAATTATAATACTATATCTGGGAAAATGAAGTAGGTTTTGATTATAAGTATCTGGGGAGCTGAGGACTGTTTTTATAAAATGAAGAAGCTGTTGAATGATGATATAAAAGAACTTACTGGTGAGACGTATTTGGCTGAAATACAGAAAATAGCCTAAAGGGGCTTCGTGATTAGTGTGGTTTTAATAAGATAAATGATTTCAGATGCAATTCTGTGAAATTAGATTTTAAACATTCTCATAGATGAGTAGTATACCTCAGAAATGTGTTGCATGCTATATATTTCTCAAAAACACACAAAGATATATTAAATATTACTCCAGTCAAAATCATGTTTATTTTACTACATGATCCTCATTTTCTCATTGTATTAATACATTAATTCTCATTAATGCAATGAGAAAATTTTCTCACATGGACAAATGAGTGATTGAAACGTGAGTAGGGTAAAATATTCATGGTTACTTGGTAAAGTAATATCCACACATCAGATAAATGATCTCATTGTCTAAGCAGCAAACCAGGAGGTTAATAATGTTTTCAGAATATTTAGAGCTACATCAACTAAGTGGGCTGTTCTCAACTAGGCACTTAAAAGATTTAGGCAAACCACCCTGTTAAGCTTAGAGCTGTCTGTATAATTACCTAACTTTCTACTTCGTGTAGATCTTCTGGTTTGAAAGGCAGAACGTAGTTAGTAAAGCTACCCCTTGAGACTTTCTAGAAGAGAGGAAGTGGGCTTTAACCTTGGGGTGGGGGAGAGGAGTGTATATGTCCTATCATTTCCCACATGGTAAAAAATGGTTGACTGGAAAATCTAACCCTATCTAAATTAGCCTTTCCCCACATTTTCTGGCTTAATTTGCTTCAAATCATTATCAGTCTAGGCAATCACACTTGATGGTTTCTTATCTACCTCGTCACAATAAATGACGATGAATTCTGTCTACAAGAGAAGAGACTGTCTTCTGAAGTATTTCTAGAAGCTACAACAATGCCTGGTTCATAGCAGGTGCTTTGTGTAGTGAAGGAATAAACAATCATCTCATACTCCAATGAATGAGATTAACAAACACACTGTAACCGGTAATAAAAAGCAGACAATGACTTATGAAAACACTACTGAGCAGTTGTCTAGTGACTCATCAAAACTTATGTTTTCTATGAAAACGTTGTGTTTACCCACTTCATTTCTAGTCCTCTAACTGCTTCAATTTATCTAACTCATGGATTCAAAGAACTTTACACTGGCATTGAAACTCAATGCCTGTGGGCCAGGTGATTAACACAAGTGATTTGATTGTACCACAGAGACCCGATGCAGTCTAGGGTAGGACAGGTTTGTAGCCCCACTGCATCTCACTGGCCATGCTGCTAAGTGAGAATGCAGGCTTCCTTTTGATTTTTCTAGGAAGACTGCAATCTGGATTTTTACGTGAAACATCTCAGTTTCTAAATGTTGGCATTTACTAGAAAAATTCCAATGTATATGCCAGCCAAAAAAAAAATTTGGAGCCTTATTTGAGACTATTTGGCTCAGAAGCTGCTATTATTTGACATCTGATGGACGTTTTTAACTTGGGATTTTTTCAGTTTGACTTCCTTTCATCCTCTTTGAACTGGGATCCCTCTTCTGTCTGGTCCCTATGGAGATTTAGTGGTGAGTTTTATATTTGTGCCTTGGCTTTGGCCTGGCAGCTCCCTAACACCTTCCTCCTGGGGAACTTTCTCCCGAGCTCCTGCTGTGTAGCCCCCAGCAAGGTAAACCACATCTCCTGTGTTTCACAGAACCCTGAGCTACCTCTTGATCCTTGACAAAGGTGAATCTTTGCCTCTTCAGTGTGTGCCAATCGTAGGTAGGGAGGTTGATGAAGGGGAAGAAGTGTAGAAAGGGAGTGTGGGAGACAGAGAGAGGGGAGAGAGAGACAGAGAGACAGAGAAGAGATGGCTTGAGATAAATATACTGCTCTACTTACGTATCTCCATCAAGTCAGATGTATTAGTGTTCTCTTAGAGGGACAGAACTAATAGGATGTATGTGTGTGTATATATATGTGTGTATGTATATATATGAATTGTATATATGTATACACCTATGTGTGTGTGTGTGTGTGTGTATATATATATGAGTTTATTAAGTATTAATTTTCATGATCACAAGGTCTCTCAATAGGCTGTCTGTGAACTGAGGAACAAGGAAAGCCAGTCCAAGTCCCCAGAACTGAAAAACTTAAGAGTCTGATGTTAGAAGGCAGGAAGGATCCAGCATGGGAGAAAGATGTAGGCTGAGAGGCTAGGCCCATCTCTCTCTTTTTCACATTTTTCTGTCTGCTTTATATTTGCTGGCAGCTGATTAGATGGTGCCCACCAGATTAAAGGTGGTCTGCCTTCCCCAGCCCACTGACTCAAATGTTAATCTCTTTTGGTAACACCCTCACAAACACACCCAGGATTAATAGTTTGTATCCCTCAATCCAATCAAGTTGACACTCAGTATTAATAATCACAAATCCACCTCTTGTCAACTCAAACCCATACATATCTCCTGAAATCATACAAAATCTTCAAATTAAGAAAATAATGAGGTCATAATTATGCCTAACATAACACAACTATCCTTCATACAATGGGAAACTCACCAATCCCCAACCCAAATACTGTTACATAAAGTTAACAATACTTAAATGCTGATATGAAGTCAGTAAATCTTGTCACATGATAAAGGAAAAGGAAATAAAATGAAGATATTTTCTCAGTACAAGTATATACATGCACAAATATGTTTTTAACAAAAGAAGGAGGAAATACTCATGACAGTTACAGTCCTCATTTCTGGAACTGGTCACGTGGTTGTAGCTGCTATTGATGACTATCTTCTTTTACTACCCATTCTGTATTCCCTTTGCCTTTAGCAAGCACCTCAGCAGGTTGCGGTTTTTTTTTTTCCTGGTGGAGTGACCCAAACCTTCATTCCTGAAGTGTCTGGACCATTTGTACTCCTGCCTGGGCTGAGCTGTTGCAGTTTCCCACTGACCTTAATCACAGGGCATGGTAATACTGAGAGATGCCATGGTGAATCTCCTGTATTCTATGCATACTCTTCCTTACTTCCATTACGGAGTAGTAGACACATTTCATCTTGATGGTCTGGGTCAATCACCTCATCAAACACTGTAACTTCCTTCTTAGCCTGTTGACTTAAAGGTAGGAGGAGCCAAAGTGTGCAGGTGGTAATCTTAACTTCCAGTTTAATGGAATAGTTGTTGTGTCTCCTGGTGGCAGTATTCCTCCCTCTGGAACTAAGACCTCTGGGCCAGCAGAATGTAATGTTGTGGGAACAGGAAGCAAATTTTTGCTAGTGAATCACTAGGGGTGATGGTGAGTGGCGCCACTTCCAGTTCCACCCCTTGATTCCTGGACCTGTGAATCTTGGCTATGGGAGAAACAGTACCATATATTGGACATTGATTCAGAGCATACACAGCTTTCTGGAGAACTATGCCCCAGCCCTGCAAAGTATTGTTGCTTAGTTGGCATTGTAATTGTGACTTCAAAAGGCCATTCCACCGTTCTATCAATCCAGCTGCATTAGGATGATTGGGAACATGGTAAGACCAGTGAATTCCATGAGCATGAGCCCAGTGCCACACTTCTTTAGCAGTAAAGTGAGTGTCTTGGTCAGAAGCAATGCTGTGTGGAATACCATGATGGTGGTTAAGGCATGCTGTGAGTCCATGGATGGTAGTCATGGCAGAAGCATTGCTTGCAGGATAGGCAAACACATATCTAGAATAAATGTCTATTACAGTGAGGGCAAACCTCTGCCCTTTCCATGATGGAAGAGGTCCAGTATAATCAACCTGTCACTAGGTAGCTGGCTGATCACCCCGAGAAATGGTGCCATATCGAGGGCTCAGTGTTGGTCTCTGCTGCTGGCAAATTGGGCAGTCAGCAGTGGCCGTAGCCAGGTCAGCCTTAGTGAGTGGAAGTACATGCTGCTGAGCCCATGTGTAACCTACATCTCTGCCACCATGGCCACTTTGTTCATGGGCCCACTGGGCGATGACAGGAGTGGCTAGGGAAAGAGGCTGAGTGGTGTCCACAGAACCGGTCATCCTATCCACTTGATTATTAAACTCCTCCTCCACTAAGGTCACCTGTTGGTGAGCACTCACATGGGATACAAATATCTTCACAGTTTTGACCATTCAGAGAGGTTCATCCACACACCTCTTCCCTAAATTTGTTTGTCA